ACTTTAAGGTTTGCAAAGCACTTTATAAATGTTATCTAATTTATCCTCACAGTAACTCTGGAAGGTAAGATAATAATTATACCAGTATTGTAGATAATGAAACTATTAACACAGTAATAAGTAATACAGTAATAAGTGTCTGAGGCCAGATTTGAATTCTGGTCTTCCTGACTCCAGGTCCATAACTAACTGCATTGTTCCATTGACCTTCCTTGAAGCCTTTCCAACCTTCTAGGACCTGACAGAGCTGGCCTTGCTTTTGAGAGTCTAAGTCAGGGGTGGGGAACCTGCAGACTTGAGGCCACATATGGTCTCTAGGACCTCAAGTGTGGCCCTTTGACGGAATCTAAACTTCACAAAATAAATCCCCTTAATAAAAGGATTTGTTCTGTAAAACTTGGACTCAGTCAGAAGGCTGCACCCAAAGACCTAGAGGGCCACATGTGGCCTCAAGGCCACGGGTTCCCCACCCCCCGGTCTAAGTCTCTGTGCTATGATGAGGCATTGGTGAAATACTTTAGTACAGGATAAGTTCACTGACCTTTTAAAAAGATAGACCTCACACTGTCTGAATATATATATAGATATAGATATAGATATATACACACATTCGTTATGCTCTCCAAAGTCACCTACAGGAATTGAACATTTTTGTTCTTTTAAAACAAAATATAGGGGGCCTAATGATCCTACAAAAGAAGAAAAATGACCCTTAGCACTTCCTTTCTTATGTGCATAAATGTTATATCAATCTTCAGTGTAAGTGGTGGGTAGAGCTAGACTGAGGAGAAGATATTCTGCTCTGAGCAGTAATGAAGTATCATCATCATCATTATTTATAGTCTCTTTTTTGTCTTTAAGGACATTTACAATTCCAAATTATATTCAAACCATCCTAGGCTATGTAACTCAGTGGCCTTTGCTAATAAAATTTGGATGTGTGCTTTCAAGAAATCTAGAATTAGGGGTGATAATTTTTTTAAATAAAAAGGAATTAAATACTTAGAGGCAATAGATTTTCAGGAAAGTTTGAGAATTAACCTTGAGGACACAAAAAAATGGAAGAACTAAGGTCTTGATTCAGGAGGCCGGGAAATATTTAGAGTAGAAAAAAACTAATGTTTATGATGTTTATTAGAGGCAATATTTCCTTGGATGGGAAATTATAATAATACCAATAGTTTAGGCCACTGGAATCTTGGACAACACTTGATACTTCTGAGTGATAATGATGATTCAGTTCAGCACACTTTTTGTAAGCACACACCAGGAACTGGTGGTCACCTCCATTTTGTAGATAATAAAACTGAAGTTCACCAAAGTTATGGTGACTTGGTCTTGTATTAATTTTCACATATTAATCAATAAGCATTTATTTAGTCCCTTCTGTGTGTCAAAGATTGTGTTAGGCCCTGGGGATAATAAGACAAACGTGAAATAAACCCTCACTCAAGGAATTTATAATCTGTTGGGGGAAAGAATAGGTATATGTTATATAAACATATACAAAGTAAATCCAAGGAAATTTTTGGGGGAAAGGGGAAGGTACTAGCTGATGTGGAGAGATAGGATCATGCAGAAAGTGGCATTTACATACCTAGTGAGTGTTAGAGTTGGGATTCAAAATCAAGGCTAGCATTCTGCTGACTTTGTTAATAGAACCAGCAAGGTGGCACAGTGCTGGAGTTAGGAACACTGGATGTTGAAATCCAGATTGAGCTGTTTGTTCATGGGCAAATCACTTTATCTCTGCTTCAGTTTCCTCAGCTATGAAACTGGAATAAGTGATAACATCTACCTCATGGGGTTGTTGTCAGTATCAAATGAGGTAGTAATTGAGAAGTGCTTAGCACATTGTAAGCACTAAGTGTTAGCTGCTGATATAATAGTTATTTTTATTAATATTTATTAAGTAATATTAATAATTATTATTTTGTCAAGCTGTTTGTTTCTGATCCTGGCAGTGAGTACATCTTTAGAAAAGCAAACATTCTGAGGAAGTGACTTTAGCTTAACTCTACCAAATAATATTCTTGTAGAACTTTCTCACTCTCAAGAGGGTTGCTAGGTTGCAAAGATTCTTGGAGCTCTACTTTCCCTAGGGGTATTTCTGCACTGGGGTTACCAAAGGTTGAAATTGGTCTATTATTGGTTAGTTACTAACTCATACCCGTAATTCCCTTAAACTTAGAACTTCTAGCCAAAGGGTGAAACACACTTTCCAACTTCTCTGCACCCTTGACATTCTAGTCCTAAAGATTAACATGTGAGGTTTATAGTAGCCTGATCCCTGTGACCTTTAATTATTAGCTGCTGATTGCTTATAATTCACAGCCTGTGTTTTGTTTTCCCTTTTCTCCTCCCTGGGCTTCTTTGTTTTCACAACCTCATATATTTGTGGTGCCTGATTTGTGGAGGGAGGGAAGTATAAAGAAATACACATCTTCTGCACAAAAACACTTATGCCTGAGATCCTCTTTGGAAGACTGTTTCCCCAAGAGCCAATAAAGAAACAATTTGTCTAAGATTCTCCTTCCTTTGGTTCCTTCAGTTGATGTGCACAGATTTTTTTTTAAAACCAATGCTGAGTAGCTTAACTCGTTTAAAATATTTTTGCCCACCACCATCATCTCCACCATCACCACCTACTTCTGACCACCATCATCTCCGCCATCACCACCTCCTTCTGACCACCATCTTCTCCACCATCACCACCTCCTTCTGACCACCATCATCTCCACCATCACCACCTACTTCTGAACATTGTCTTCCTCCTATTCTAGTTTGCAAATTGCTTTACTTAAAACACCCATTTAAACCAGGTAATAAAGATTTATTATTTCCATTTTACAAATGAGGAAATTGTGGCAAAGGTGGATTCGAGTGATCTGTCCTGGGTCCTCATAATGTCAGAGCCTGGAATTGAACCCCTGTCTCCTGGCTCTGAGGGCAGCTAGGTGGTGTAATAAATAGAGTGCTGGGCCTGAAGTCAGGAAGACTCATCTTCCTGAGTTCAAATCTGGCCTCATATACTTACTAGCTGTGTGACCCTGGGCAAGTCACTTGACCCTGTTTGCCTTAGTTTCCTTATCTGTAAAATGAGCTGGAGTAGGAAATGGCAAACCACTCCAATATCTTTGCTAAGAAAACTCCAAATGGCATCACAAAGAGTCAGAAACGACTGAACAACAACTCCTGTCTCTGAGTCCAGCATTCTCACCACTTTAACATACTATTTAAATTCTTTACTGTTTCAAGGATCTGTTTGGTCTTGAAGAATTTTGTTTGGTCTTGAAGACTGCTTCCAGTAGGGCAGATTAGTACCTCCATTCATCTCTTCCTTGGTATATGGTCCTTGTAAGTGGGTGTGACCAAAAATTCATCACCCTGGAGCTAGCTTGGTAATGAGGCCTTTCCTCTGACTATACACATGCTAGTCCATGCCAATTTGGTACTCTTTTGCATTGATGTAGAGTGTGTCAGAGTTTGTGTACCATTGGCACCATCTTAAAGAACTCAGTGTCACTATGTGCCACAATGAAGCATTGACAAGAGGGCATTGGTGGAGAGAAATTCATGTTGTTTTTTTTAATAGCCTACTCCTAGATGTTTACATTTGTTTTTCATGAGCTATTCATTATAAGTGCTGTACCTATGAGCATTATTTCTGGGTTGGTTTGTTTGTTTTTTAAGATGGTTAATATACTTGGACATTTGAGTGTTTTCTGAGCCTGAGTTTCCTATTTCCTTTGGCTCAGCTTGGTATCCCTTGGGCTCTGTAGGTGGTATTTCTCTGTTCTTCACCAATTTTCAGTTTGTTACTCATTTTTTTCCCTTCTTCCTTATCAATATAATCCACTCTTTTCCAGTAAAAATCTCTAGTTTCTGTTGTCCCCTTCCCTCCCTATTTTGTTGCCCTTCCCCCCATCTCCTAATTCTTCCTCCTTTTCCCTCTAGTCATACTTTTTTGGGCTTACATTCTTTCATGTCAGATCAACCGACCAGAAGCCTCTGGTTATTAATCCTTCACAGCCACTTTTTCAGTAGGGTCATATTTCCTATTGTGTGTTGCAGGCAGAGAAGACATTTTATGTGTATAATAATAATATATAATATATAAATATTGTATTAATAATAATAAAATGCATAGACCATTTTCTCTTCAAGCTTAATGTAGCTCCGCAGAATCAGGAAAATAGATTTTCTTTGCCTAACCTAATTTTGCAAGTGCCACTTAATTCTCATTTGCTCAAACTTTTGAGGTCCTTTTCATCTTTTTTATTTCATCATAATTATAAGAACCTTAGCCCCTTTCCTATTAAAGTAGCTTTTTTCTCCTTTCCTTTCTGTATTAACCTTGAAAATCCAGCTAAATTCTCTTTTCCCTTGTGAATCAGTCTTTTTTTTTTTTTCAAGTTTCTTCCAGGATGGACTGAAAGCTGTTGAAACCCTCAAACCCTCCATTGAAACTCTTTCAACGGATCTTCACATAGTAAGATGTGACCTCTTACACTTATTTTAAAATGGTTTTTACTATTAAAGAAATGCTTTTACTTCAAATGTTGGTACTCTGCCTTCTTGAGTTTCCATACTATTCAATCAGACACCTCTTTTTAAAAATTTATTTTTATATTATTTTGGGTAGAACAAAAAAAGAGCATTTCCATATACAATATAGAACATGAAAAGATAATGTATGAAGTAGCACATTTCTATTCAATACAGCTTGCTTTTTTTCTTCTTAGAATATATCATAAATTCAGCACATTATTTTCAAAGCTATGCTGTTTGTATTGAGCGATTTTCTTCTAATACCACTTAGAATTGTTGTCAATTTTTTCATATTCCTATTTATTGCCTATCCTTGTTTTGGTTGTTTGGAATATCTTAACTAATTAAGGAATAAATTTTCTTGTATAATGATCTGTAGACTTTTACCTTTCTTCATCCTGGGCCTGTTTGATCTAAATTAGGCAGAAAAGACAAAACCTGGGTTAAAATGAAGAAAGGAAACAGTTAATACAGCTACGAGATATTTTAAAATCAGCACTCCAGGTTGAACAAAAAGAGGTGAGGGGATTTAATTTTGTAGGCTTTATGGTTCTCTTGGTTTGTTTCTAAATAGTTTTGGAAACAGTGGTACAGTAGTGAAAAGATCCCTGGATTTGGGGTCGTTGAACCTGGCTTCACATACTAGTTCTGTTATTTACCACCTAAGTGTTCTTAGGCACTTGACCCTCTTGATGCCTCAGTTTTCTCACCTGTAAATTGGAGGAGGTTAGAATGGGTAACCTTGATGCTGCCTTCTAGCTCTACCAGCCTGTGATTCTTAAAACAGCATTATAAAATCAAGTTCTGAGGCTGTTTAAGGTCTTGATTGTAAGCACACTAAGTCTTTGGCTACACAGTACCAAAATTACTGGTTTGCTCTTTCAGTTTACTCCAAGTCTTAGTCCAGTGTGAAAAAAAAGCCAGTAAAACTTGTCTGTTTACCATCTTTGGGACATGGCTTCAGTATTACCTTGTAAAATCTCTTCTGGGTATCATCTTCATGGGCAGGGGGCCCCAGAATTGTTCTTGGTGGCTTCGCCTTTCTATAACGCTGTGCTATATCACAAAGGAAAAGACTTTTTTGTTTATGCTGATTATTTTCTGGGCTAAAATGTTAATAGTTTCATCTTTATTCTCCTTATTCATATAAGAAATATAAACACATAATGTAAAAAGGGTTTTAAAAAAGAATTGTGTCTTCCAAGGCAGAAACCAGGCTGGAAACCTATAAGTCTCTCCTAAACAATACTTTTAGAGGGGAGGTGTCATAGTATGGTAGAAAGAATATTAAGCTCAGAGTTTGGAATTTTATCCCTGGCATTAAGCTTGGGTAAGTCATTTAACTTTTCTAAGCTTTATTTTCCTTAGTTGTCAAATGAGGGTCTTGTTCTAAGGTCCCTTCCAGCTACTATTTCCTGTGAAAAGTGATGTCACTGAATGTTAACATACCAAAACTCAGGACTTGTAATAGTGGACTTGTACTTTTTGTAATAAAGCCCAGTGTGGTATCATTAAGCTATCACCTTTTCAAGAGTATGCTATTCTTTAACTTTATATATCTATTTGCTTTGCACTGTAGGAATTGCCTTAAGATGTGCTTAGTAGTTGTTAGAAAACAGGTTCATGTTAATGTGCTAGTAATTAATTTAGTAGTAACATAAAGCTCAGCATTAATATTTTTTTATTTTATATTCTTGTGCTATAACTGAATATTATTATTTTTTTCTCCTGATAATGCATTTGCCTTTTGTGACCGAAGTCTAGGAGAGTAAGTAGTTTAGAATTCTATAAATTGAAGTACTTTGCATGTTCCTTTCTTGAACATCAAGAAACTGGATTTTTCTCCCCTAACTATTTTATTGGGTAGAAGTAGCTTAAATTTGTGACTCTTTATTTCCTTTTATATCCACATATCTTGAATAAAGGACAGAGACCCTTGGTTCTCCCACTTCACCATAAGCAGTGAAATTGATGTCCCTTTTGCCACCAGGAACTTCCAGTGCTCATAATTTGTCATTTGAAGTTGCCTACTCAAAATGCAACCTGGAACACTGCCATTTTCCTTCTGGTGTTGAAAATAAATTAAATCCAGTTCCTTGGTTTAGCTACTTAGTGAAGTTTCCTGGATTTTTTTGTCCATTGTGTATGGAAATGTGTATTTTCCTGGTTTCAGTGCACTGAGGAGCTGTCGTTGTAAACATTCACAGGAAGAACTGTATTTTTGTGAATGAGTTAATGTGTATTTTTGTCCTGGTGATCAGTCTTTCTACAGTGCAAATTCCTCTGTGAATTGTTTTCAGTGACTATTTAAAAGAGAGGCTGGGTTGTTCTTATTAGTCTTGTTTGGTTCAGTGTGTTAGTACTTTGGGGCCCTCTGTGGAGCATTATTCAAGGAGATTGGGCTTCAGGGACATAGCTCTTATGGTTTTGCCTTCTAGTTCTTGTGCCCCACATACTGGTGTCTCGTGAATGGTTTTAGTGACGATGTCACATTCTGCTCCGATTTATTTATATTTGCACCGTCTCCCTCCTCAGGTTGCTTGTATGGGAAATTTAGCTATGAGTGTTAGTTTCTTTTTTTTTTTAATTTGGGAGGAGTGCCAAGACCACACCTCTGAAATGCATTCTTTCTTTTCCACTCCCACTACTACCATCCTGTTTAGGCTCTTACCTCCTTATGCCCAGGTTATTGGTACACTCTACTAGCCCGTGCACCAACCCTATCTTTCATAACGCTCCCATATTAACCTAAACATTTCTAAAGCTAAACAATTCTAAAACAGTTTTCATTAGGTCACCTCCTTGATCAAAAAATTTCCTAAGTTCCTCACTACCTACCAAGTAAAACCAAAACTCAGCTTGGTATTCAATGCCCTTCACCACTTGACCCCAAACTATCATTGTAGCATCACCTCAAACTATACACCCTGACTCCAGGCCAAAGGTGTCAAACATGAACTCCATAAGTGTGGCCCTAAACAAATTAAAATGTAATTGGAAAATACTTAACAAGATAATTAAAAATACAATAAAATATAAATTACAATGCATTTAAAAACTAAGTCAATGTGCTGTCCCTATAGATCCTTAGGTATGATTTAGTGGCCCTTGACACCACTGTTCTAGGTGGACTGAACCATTCTCTAAACACGATTCAGGCTTTCTTTCCTGCACCTTCTGCCTCTGTCAAAGCTTGTTGAATTCCTCATCTTTGAAGACCTAGCTCCAATCCTAACCTTCTCAAATCAAATGAAATAGCATATTAAAGCACTTTGTATACCTTCAAGCTCTCTATAAATGTGAGCCATTATTCTCCATGAAACCTTTCTTGAACCCCTTGGAAGTGATTTATCTCTCTTCTCTTCTCATTAACATATTCTAATTTTTGTTTTACTTATCTCAATCCATGTCTCATGACTCCTACTAGATTGTAAATTCATGTCTTATTCATCTTTGCATCTCCCCCAGACCATAGCACAGTGTAGTGCATAAGCATATAATAAATGGTTGTAGAAGTGTTACACACACACACACACACACACACACACACACACACACAGAGGTTTCCTTACAACCTACAAAATATAGGTTATTGTACTGTGACAATTCCAAACATCAGAGATAAGCAGGAAAAAAAAAAGCCAAAGACTTTGGGATGTGGGAAAAATGAAGACAAAAGTGTACATTGAAAATGAAGTGTTGAGGCCAGGAAGAAACCTCTAGCATCCCAGAGTGGCTGTTTAGTGAGTTACTAGGAATGGGTGAGAGAAGCTTTTGTTTTTGGATGGAAGACTGAGCACAGCTAAGAAAAGCACCAAGTTAAAAAAAAAAAGCCAAAGCAGAGCCAACTCAAAGGTTTATCAGCACTCTGGGCACAGTGCAAGGTCTGTGTTTGCTTTGCTTGAGTACTGTTAGGAGGTTTGGGAGCATGGGACTGTTTTCACATTGCTTGCTATTTCCAGCTTTGCAGAGAAGCATAAAAAATTTACCGGCACATTCACCCTATCTTCGTGTTTATTTTTAAATTTTTTCCCCCTACTCCATCTGCCCTAGTGAACACATAGGTAGTCAAATAAATATTTCTTACTACTGCTGTCTGCCTCCTTTTCCGACTGGCTGCAGGTCAATATTAAACCTTTCAGCCCCGCTGTTGTTGGGGATGGTGGTTTTGGAAATTGTACCTTGAATTGCTTTTTAGTGTTCTAACAATTGAAAATAATTGATAATGCAAGCTAAGTTTACTTTGTGATTAGCGGTAGAGAGATGGGAAACTGAACTTGCTAGTCAGGAAGCTCATTTTAAAATCTGTAACAATTATCTTCCAAACAACTGCGCATTACCCACAGCTTGCATTATTGTTATTTAGACTGATTCTTTTTGGTTATTTTTCCTATTTCACCCGTCATTGTTTGGACTATGTAAAACAGATTGAGCAAGAATATACCTGACATGCAACCATGATTGATGACTCTGACCTGGGTGGTGTAAATTAGAGTTGTGTATAAGAATACTGATGAAGCTAGATTAAGAAGGGCTTTAAATGCCAATCGGAGGACTTTCTATTTAATACTAGAGACAACAGGAAATTAATGAAATTTATTAGAAAAATCATTTTGGCCACTGAGTGGAAGATGGGTTACAGTAGGGGAAACCCAAGTCAGGGAACCAGTAAGGAAGCTGTTGGTCCAAGTAAGAGGTGATGAAGACCTAAGTGGCAATAATGGGATAGACAAGAATCCAGTTTTGAACATTTTGAGTTTGAGATACCTACAAGACGTCAAGGTTGAAGTGTCCTCCAAAAAATTGAAGATGTGAGACTGGAGCTTGGGAAACAAACTAGGACTGGATAGTGTAGGGGTCATCTGCATAAACACAGTAGTTAAACCCATGAGGGCTAATACGGTCACCCAGTAAGAGAGTGCAGAGAAAGAGAAAGGCCCAGGACAGAGCCTTGGGGGATACCCACAGGAAGGGATGTAATATGGATGATGTTCCAACAGAAGAGTAAGAGGCACAGTTAGACAAGTACAAGGGAAACCAAGAGAAGACAATACCTCCCCCCCCCAAAGAAAAACAACCCGAAACACCTATCTAGGAGATTTGTTACTAGGTTTTTCAATACCAAGTGGTCTGTACTTACTGGTTTTACTACCTTTGTAATATGAGAAGTGCCTGATACCCACAGAAATCTCTGGAGTCCATGAACTTGCTTTTTAAAAATATTTTTAGGGATGGCTAGGTGGCGCAGTGGATAGAGCTCCAGCTTTGGAGTTAGGAGGACCTGAGTTCAAATCCGGACTCAGACACTTGACATTTACTAGCTGTGTGACTCTGGGCAAGTCACTTAACCCTGATTGCCTCACCAAAAAAGCAAAAAAAAAAAATTTTATAACTATATTTCAATATAATTGATTTCCTTTGTAATTCAGCGTATTTCATTTTATGCATTTAAATCATTGCTTAGAGAAGAGCTCACTAGGCATCACCAGACTGCCAAAGGGATCCATGACCCACGCAAA